AGGAAGATGGAAAGAAAGGAAAGGAGAGAATGGAAGGAAAGGAAGGAGTGAAAAGAAGGAATGAAGAAGGAAAGAAAGGAAGAAAAAGGAGGAAGGAGTGAAGGGAAGGAAGAAAGGAAGAAGGAAAGAGGAAAGGAGAGAACGGAAGGAAGGAAAGAAACAGAGGAAGGAAGGAAGGAAGGAAGGAAGGAAGGAAGGAAGGAAGGAAGGAAGGAAGGAAGGAAGGAAGGAAGGAAGGAAGGAAGGAAGGAAGGAAGGAAGGAAGGAAGGAAGGTGGGTGGAAAGAAAGGAAAGGAGAGAATGGAAGGAAAGGAAGGAGTGAAAAGAAGGAATGAGGAAGGAAGGGAAGGCAAGGGAAGGAAAGAAAGGAAGAAAAAGGAGGAAGGAAGGAAGGAAAGAAGGAAGGAAGGAAGATGGAAGAAAGGAAAGGAGAGAATGGAAGGAAAGGAAGGAGTGAAAAGAAGGAAGGGAAGGGAAGGAAAGGAAGGAAGGAAGAAAAAGGAGGAATGAATGAATGAAGGAAGGAAGGAAGGAAGGAAGGAAGGAAGGAAGGAAGGTGGAAAGAAAGGGAAGGAGAGAATGGAAGGAAAGGAAGGAGGGAAAAGAAGGAATGAAGAAGGAAGGGAAGGCAAGGGAAGGAAAGAAAGGAAGAAAAAGGAGGAAGGAAGGAAGGAAGATGGAAAGAAAGGAAAGGAGAGAATGGAAGGAAAGGAAGGAGTGAAAAGAAGGAATGAAGAAGGAAGGGAAGGGAAGAAATGAAGAAAAAGGAGGAAGGAAGGAAGGAAGGAAGGAAGGAAGGAAGGAAGGAAGGAAGGAAGGAAGGAAGGAAGGACGGAAGGTGGAAAGAAAGGGAAGGAGAGAATGGAAGGAAAGGAAGGAGTGAATAGAAGGAATGAAGAAGGAAAGGAATTGAAGGAGAGAAAGGAGGAAAAAGAAGGAAGGAAGGAAGGATGGATGGATGGATGGAGAGAAAGGAATGGAGAGAAAGGAAAGGAAAGGAAGGAAGGAATACAGGAACACAAACCTTTCAAACCAGGAACAGAACATTGTTCAAATCTTGTTACACAGTGTTGTTTCCATTCTGCCTCCTTACCGTCGCTTCATCCACGGCTTTGCACCTTGGATCCATCATTTTGGCAGCAGCGGCCGTCACCGCGGAATCCCATCGCTCTACGTGGTCCTAAGCGAGAAAAAAACAGGGAGCATTGAATGCCCAGAAAGGAGATCCCATCATCCCCAAAACCGGAGCTGGATCAAGTCTTAGAAGACTTTCCAGCTCGTTTCTAGTTTTTCCTTTCAACCACAAGACCTGTCCCTCCCACAAAAACAAAGTTTTGGCACCTCACTACCTCTGAGGATGCTTGCCATAGATGCAGGCGAAACGTCAGGAGAGAATGCTTCTAGAACATGGCCATATAGCCTGAAAAAAACCTACAACAACCCAGTGATTCCGGCCATGAAAGCCTTCGACAATACAAAGTTTTGGCAATTTAATATATTTTTATCCCACATTTTCAGGATAGAAACTCATCCTATTGTCACCTTCCATGAATTTACCTTGGAATGTCATCCCATTGCATCTCGGACCTCAGGATAAAATCCCGTAATGTTAAATTGTAAATTTGAATCTGTATTTCATCAGTGGATTTTAATTGTATTTTAGCTCTCTGTGTGTCTTGTAATAGGGTTTTAATATTGTTGTATCTCTCCTCGAGCCGCAGGGAGAGGTGGGTAGTACATTCATTACTATTATTATAATTAATTAAGCTTATTTGAGCTCCGAGGGAGGCCTTGGAAGGAATCCCACTGGAGCATTGCCGCACACCCAAAGACCTGGGAGTCACTCTGGACCCACAAGACGCACTTCTTGGCGATCAAGCAAAATAATATCACAACCAGACACAGTGAAGACATCTGCCCTTGCACTTTGCTACTCTGCTGCTGAGTACGCATGCCCAGTGTGGAAGACATCACACCACATTAAAAACAGTGGACGTGGCTCTTAATGAACATGCTGCATTATCACAGGAGGTCTATGCCCTACACCCAGAGGCGGCCCTAAGTAATTTTCAACGGTAAGCAAACAGTATTTTGGCGCCCTCCCCCCGCCCCCCAACCAATCATTGATATATATTTTCTGTTCGTCGTGGGAGTTCTGTGTGCCATATTTGGTTCAATTCCATCATTGGTGGAGTTCAGAATGCTCTTTGATTGTAGGTGAACTATACATCCCAGTAACTACACTTGCCGCACTTGCTCCCTTGCCTGGCCCGCTTTGGGTCCGGAGGCGTGCCTGAAGACCCCGGCGTGTGCACCAAAAGTCACCTCTTCTCCTGACTTTCTCCTCAGCCATTGGGACCACAGAGAGAGAGAGAGAGAGAGAGAGAGGTGGAGATGCCCACCTTTCCTGAAGGTAGGCGCAAAAACAAAGGAGGGAGCGGAGGTGGGAGATACCTCCAGCCGGAGGGGCTCTCTCTCTCTCTCTCTCTCTCTCTCTCTTGGTCCCAATGGCTGAAGAGAAAGTCAGGAGAAGAGGCGACTTTTGGTGCGCACGCTGGGGTCTTCAGACACGCCTCCGGACCCAAAGCGGGCCAGGTGCGGCGGCTCCGCCCCTTGGCCCACCCGCGGATTGGGGAGAGAAGAGGAGGCGGGTGGAGCGCCGGGGGATCAGGAAAGGGAGCCGGTCATGGGGAAGGGATCGAACGCGGAGAACGATTGAGCGCCGGCTCTGCTCGCGCACCCGGTGGCCGGGTGGAGCAGGAACGAGAGGGGCTAGGCGAGGCTCAAGGGCCCGGCCCCTTTGGGAAGAGGATCGCCCGGCAGCGAGGCAAGAAAGCCGAGGCTCCCCCCGGACTGCTAGGGCTGTTGTGAGCTGAGGGGGGCGCTCCTCAAGTGGCGGTCAAGGGGCATTTACAGAGGCGCCTCTGCGCCCCTGGCAAAAAAAGAGCGTTCTGCGACCGCTTACTTCGCGTAATGGACGAGCCGCCCCTCCCTACACCACTGGAAAAATTATACTGCTTAGTCAGTATTGTACCACCGGATATCACCCAAAAAGTAGCAGCCATAAGGACATGATAGCAACAGTCTTGGACAGCAGTGGTTCCCAAAGTGACCCATTTAAAGTGGAATCAGGTGTCAAACAGGGAGGTGTGATTGCCTCAACCTTATTTTCCATCTTCATCGCTATGATACTACATCTTGTTGGTGGGAAGCTTCTCACCAGAGTCGAAATCATCTATCGGACAGATGGCAAGCTGTTTAACCTCAGCAGACTGAAAGCCAAAACCAAGATTACAACATCTGTTATAGAACTCCAATATGCTGATGACAACGTTGTCTTTGCGCATTCAGAAGAAGACCTACAAGCCACTCTAAACATCTTCACAGAAGCATAAGAGAAGCTCGGCCTGTCATTGAACATCGAGAAAACCAAAGTGCTGTTCCAGCAGTCCCCAGCCAATCCTTCTCCAATGCCAGAGATACAGCTTAATGATGCAACATTAGAAAATGTTGGCCATTTCCACTCCCTTGGCAGCCACCTTTCCACAAAAGTCAACATTGACACTGAAATACAACACCGCCTGAGCTCTGCGAGTGCAGCATTCTTCCGAATGAAGCAGAGAGTGTTTGAGGACGGGGAAATCCATAGGGAGACCAAGGTGCTTGTTTATTAAGCCATTGTTCTTCCAACCCTGCTATATGCCTGCAAAACGTGGACTGTCTACAGACATCACATGCAACCCCTAGAACGATTCCATCAGCGCTGCCTCCGGAAAATCCTGCAAATCTCTTGTGAAGACAAGTGGACAAATGTCAGCGTGCTGGAAGAAGGAAAGACCACCAGCATTGAAGCAATAGTCCTCCACCATCAACTCCGCTGGACCGGCGACGCTGTCCGGATGCCCGACCACCATCTCCCAAAGCAGTTGCTCTACTCTGAACTCAAGAATGGAAAATGGAATGTTGGAGGACAGGAAAAGAGATTGAAAGACGGGCTCAAAGCCAACCTTAAAAACTCTGGCATAGACACTGAGAACTTGTGGAGTCCACGATGTGCGAGTGTGGAGAAGAGCAAACCATAGACCATCTATTACAATGCAACCTGAACCCTGCCACACGCACAAATTAGTTAACCTACAATCAAGAAGAGCATTCTGATTATCATCATCACCATCATCATCCAACTTTCCTCCCATGACTGAGATCAAAATGTAATGTAATGTAATGTAATATAATATAATGCAGTTTCAAACAGATATGCCAATGACACTTACTATTAATAATAATTAATAATAATAACACCCCACTTTTCTCCCATGACTGAGACCAAAATATAATATAATATAATATAATGCAGTTTCAAACAGATATGCCAATGGCACTTACTATTAATAATATTAATAATACTCCACTTCTCTCCCAAGACTGGGACCAAAATATAATATAATATAATATAATATAATATAATATAATATAATATAATATAATATAATATAATATAATATAATGCAGTTTCAAACACATGTGCTAATGACACTTACTATTAATAATAATAATAATAATAATAATAATAATAATAATAATAATACCAGTAATAATACCCCACTTTTCTCCCATGACTGGGACCAAAATATAATATAATATAATATAATATAATATAATATAATATAATATAATATAATATAATATAATATAATACAATGATAGAATTGGGCCAAGCTTCCCACACAGAACCCCCTCAATCGGCCTCAGAAACAGAGTATTTCTTATTGTAATTAGGTTCCTTATTCTCATTTGGGAATAATAACGAGCCCCGTGGTTCAACGAATCTGCTGATCCGAAAGGTCTTTTGGAGGGCAACTGTGCATACAGTCCCATAAGTACAGTACCGTGCCTTTGCATGTCCTTCTATACCAAGTTATCCATTAACAAATCAAGCTCCGCCAGCCAGTGTGCTTCACTTGGTTGACGAACTTCTTTCCAAGTTAAATAATGCTAAATAACGAAATCTGAAATCTGTTCCTGGTTTGAAAGCGTTATTCCTATGTAATTGTGCAGTACTTACTTTGAAAGTATTTATTATGCTCGAGAAACTTTGCTTTTGTGTGTTGATATGGTACACCAGAGCAGGACACACCTCTGACCTTAAACACCACACCAGCTCGGTAAAATCAGCAAGCAGTTTATTGAAGAATATATGTAGGCAAAGCAGTAAAATAGCCAACATTGTAAAAATCCAATACAAGTAAAATAGTCCTAAACCTCAAAGAAAAACAAGATCCAAAAGTACATAAAATCCATGGAACTAGGCACTTGAAACCATGAAACTAGGGAGCTTGGAAAGAACTTGACGCATGAAACTAAGAGAACTTGAAACCAAGACAATGATCGATTTCCAACGTTGACCCGAATGAGGCAACACCTTCCCATGCATCAATATAAGGCTTTTCCAGGTTTCCAAATTGAAAGGAAAGTGTTTCTCTTAATCTTGCTACTAAGAGAACTTGAAACCAAGACAATGACCAATTTCCAACGTTGACCCGAATGAGGCAGCATCTTCTCGTGCATCAATATAAGGCTTTTCCAGGTTCCCAAATTGAAAGGAAAGTGTTTCTCTTGACATTGCTACTAAGGGAACTTGAAACCAAGACAATGACCAATTTCCAACGTTGACCTGAATGAGGCAACACCTTCCCATGCATCAATTTTACAGCAGAAAAAAGATAACCGTTTGTTATCTTGTTTCTGCTGTAAGCTAAGCGAACGGACTGTCTGAGTCTTTGCAGACTCTCTCTGTTTACAGAAACTTTGCTTTCTGTCTACCCAATGCAGCCACATGTAAATGCTAGTGGGGTTGGGGGAGGATTGATTTTGTCATTTGGGAGTTGTAGTTGCTGGGATTTATAGTTCACCTACAATCAAAGAGCATTCTGAGCTCCACCAATGATGGAATTGAACCGAACTTGGCACACAGAACTCCCACAACCAACATAAAATACTGGAAGGGTTTGGTGGGCACTGACCTCAAGTTTTGGAGTTTTAGTTCACCTACATCCAGAGAGCACCGTAGACTCAAACAATGATGTATCTGGACCAAACTTGGCATGAATATTCCATGTCCCCAAACATGAACACAGATGGATTTTTTTCTGGGGGGGGGGGGACTTTGACATTTAGGAG